GAGAAAAGAAAATTCTTGAGCCCACCAAAGCTCCAAACACGACTCCTCCGTCTTCCAACCCGTAGGACCATATGAATAAATTAATTATTTTTTAGTCAAAATTTAGGTATGATATTTTGAGTTTATTAATACGATCATGTAGAGATCAAACGCCGTGTTGCTTTGTTTCTTATGGGTAATATATTTTGTCGCGTGTTGCCTATGTGACGCGACAAGTGAATTCATGCGGGTTTCGGATTTGGCTAAGAGGTTTATTGGACAATTTCTTTTACACTCGCAAGTAAAATTATTATAAACTTATAAGTTTCCTCTTCACAATTATAATTACTTGCAACATTAACCTTGATAAAGTCTGATCACTAGACCCAGTGGCGTGCGGTACTATTTTTGGTAAGGGAAGCAGTGGTATCTAATAATCGAACTGATAGCAATCAACTCACCAAAATTTACGTCACTTATTGAGTCAGTAAGGTCCTCTTGTACTCTGTTCGATAAACCTGTAAATACCGTACTGTTCTCAAGGTGAACATTGAGTTTATGACCATAGTTCCTCAACAAGTAAACTAATCCACGCTTTCGTCATGACCACGAAGGCCAAGTTGCCACTTTCCTAAATGGCAGATGATATCAGTCAAGCGTTTCATTATTTCTCTATGTAGTATCGTCAGGCGCTTTTGAGTGTCAAGTTGACAGTCAATTCGAGATTTCCCGAACATAACAAGTTGCATTGTTGAAATAATGTGAGTCTGAGAGTTCTCATGTCGTTTCCATGCTTTATGAAGTTTGTTGGTATCACCAAACCCAGTCTTGTTCCATACATTTTTTTTCTTGAGAAGCAATGGGCATGGCCAACAAAACAATTTTCCTATATTACGGCAACCGGATAGCCACTCTGTTTTAGAATACTATTCCAAATTAAATTTGGTTTGTGCTTTAAGTTCTGGCAACTCTCATGTCAGTCGTCCTCTTTCTATAATTATTTTCTTTTCAGAAAAGTACCTGCTATTTAACCCCCGTTTTAAAAGGCTTTCGATTGCACAGTCGCAGTCGCGTTGTCTGCCAGCATTCATTTTAGCTGTGGCCCGTGCGTGTAGTCTAATCATGCCCCTGCCCCTGTACTGCAATACTGCACTTGCTTCCCTTAAACGCAGAGAGCTTCTTTCTGATTCGTCGAAATACGATCACAAATACAATCTTACGCCATCTAAATATACACTTACAATATTTTAATAAAACTTAAGGTTACCTATGACACCCAACAAGACTGAAATCACACATAAACAGTTAATTTTCTCATAACCGTTGAAAGAACACAGGCCTTCGCTTCCATATCACAGGCATTAGCCAGCAAACCGAAAGTTGCTCCCTTGCCCACTTCGTGTGCGACGAACTTTAACGGAGAATAACGAAGGAAACTTTGTCCGTCCCACCAAACAAGGGAAGGGAGGAGGAGGAGGCGGCGGCATGTGGCCTTGAGCAGGAACACGCGTTAAATGACAATATGCAAATCCTTATTATTCAAATTGAATTATTTATATATGACTTATTTTCTTTTCGTTTCTTAACTACGGAAGCAATGCTTCCCTTGCTTCCATGCACGGCACGCCACTGACTAGACCACAGAGGCGGTCGCTTACGGAATACGTCACCTTAGATTTTAACTATAACATCTAAGGCTGCCGTATGGATATGGAAGAATCCATCGAAAAAACATGCACTATGTATATATATTGCTTAAACCAAAATTTTCATTCAGTCTAGTCAAGCTTATTAACTTTTTTCTTTCTCAGAGATAATTCGGAGTCTCGGTCGAAGGTGAAACGTCCACGCCAAAGATATACAAGCAGGGGCACCACAAGATGGCGTCATACCCTGACTCCCACATTGCACAGATCCTATATATAAATAAACAATACCGCCAAACATCTGGTATCTATCTACGTCCCTATGCTGATGACTCCTGTATACATGCGGCAGACCTTCAAGAAGGCTATGAACTCAGAAAGCTGCAGCGAGGTCTCAACGCTATTGAGAGTTTGTATGAGCTCTGAAACATAAAAATCAATGAAGACAGAAATCAGGGCATCTACTTTTCCACACTATTAGCTCCTCTTCCCCGAGGCTCCTTAGATAGAACGGACGGAACGTCACCTTCGTCAGTCATGTCCGATATCTCGGCATAGTCTTCTATAAGAGGAATGCATGGAGACTAAACATTGAAATGACAGAAGCCAAGGCCTCACAGCATTTCTTAGAGCATTGTCACGTGCTGGGTATGTCACGCGGCAAATAAATTCACGTGGGTCTCGGATTCAGCGAATTTTATTGGACACTCACACTTATACACCGTACAATTATCGCCTTGACTGTATTTTGCGTCGGCTACCTTCCAACCGTCTTGTATGGCAACAAGATCTCAACTAACTTCAGCGGCATCTTCCTGAAGACTGACTTCTGTATCTCTCGGCGTCTATCCTGAGACTGTCTCGGCGAATGAATTCAACCCCTTTTTATAACCTCGGCCGCTGCTATGCAAACGACCCTCTGTTGTCTATCACCAGGGATACGCTTTGTTGATACTGCAATACCCATGCAACGACCAACTGTTGGGGCTACAATACCGCTATTGTCGCTACCTATGCAACGGTCTGTTCTAGCGTTACTATGGAAGTGTATTCTGTTTTCCGAACATGTGACATTGCTCCCTTCTAAAGGTTGTTCGTCCCCGAACAGCTTAAATATTCTCCCTTGGTTTCGTTTCCTACGGTGTTTTGCTGGCAACGTCTGCATTGGTCATCCAACCGCATCCGCCCCTCTCTTCAGTGATGCTCGCCCCGAGCACTCTCGTAGTCCAGAATTTGTTGGTCGCCTTGCCTCACATTCATACCTCGCTTTCATCCTTTCCTCATTCGTTCTTGCTATGGAGGCCGGTGCTTCTATTACCGGTTCCTCCCATGCGGGCCGTTTTCTTTCTTCCGCTTTGGAGGGGGTCGACCCCTCCACAGTGTCCAATCTTTGTTTTGTCGTAGGCCGACGGAAGATTAGGCTATACGCTTCTCGATCTCTAGTCCAGTCGTCTTCCTGTATGTCCTCTTAGATTCTTTCTTTTCCAGTCGTGGCTGCTGTCTTCCACTCCATTCTCCTATACCGTTTGCGGTTTTCCTCCGTTTCCTCGGATGTAGAGGCTCTTCTACCTCTCGGCTCCTTACGCCCTTGCTGCATTCCAGTTTCGGCTGATGTCTCCTCCCGGACGTGTATCCTGTCGTGTTTCCCCTCAGTATGCTGTCCCCGACCAGTTCTTTCTGGGGATCCTGTTGCGCCGTGCTACTCTGGCACGGAAAGTCGTCCCCACCTCTCGTGGGGTCCACACTTTTTCTGGGTGGTGTTCCTGAGGATGTCTATCTTGAGTCGTGCCACCTTCGCCCGACGTGTTGTCCTTCTGTGGTCGACGGCCAATTTTTGTGGGGCCCACAATTTTTCCGCGTTAAGTTTTTCGGTATCTGTTTCTAATTTAACACTGAACGATTAAGCGATAACATCAAACTGGCTATCCACATATTACTCATTAAGTCTGTAATAACTTATGCATACCCCACATGGGAATTTGGGACAGACGCCCAGCTCTTGAAAATACAGCGAAGAAAGTAAAAGACGGTTCTTCACACCATCGATAATTATACAAGGCGCACATTGTTCCGTGAATTGCATAAAGATTTCGAAATACCGTATATTTATCATCATATAACAAAATTATGAAAGCAGGAAGCAGAAGTCATACAAACTCATAAAAATGAAACTGTTCTCAATATTGGACAAGGCGAAGCCAGACACAAATAATATAGGAGGCTTAAACTTGGAACCGGTCAAACTTTGGACCGTTCAATTAACTAAACTGCAGATGCTGAGTGAGCTACACAAAATACGGCCTAACATGCTCTTCAAAACCTGGACTGAGAACGGTCTCTATATATTTTAAATAATATCATGTGCAGAGGATATGTACACTTGCAAACTTTCTGAGAGATAATTAAGACAAGGACAGACGACATAAACAGGTTAATTTACTGTGAAAACTGACAAGGGGCGGACCTGTCGTCTCATCAGAGAGAACGCCTAACAAAGGCAAAACCGTAACTATCCACATCAAGACTAAAACCTGGTCATGAGCTTCTAATGGGGCTCGACACCAAGACCGACTGAACGTCAGTCGTAAAGTGACTTTGACACAGGACTACGGGTAATTGAGATTAGCACATTCTAACGGACCCAACAGAGTATGTGCCTGCCAACCCTCACCTATGGGGCTCAAACAACGTCCGGTTCATGTTTTGTAGAATACGGGACGATGGACACAGTCCAAAAACTAAACAATCCTAAGTCCATGGGGTTAGTTTTAATTGAACTTAATAATGCATTATAAATCATAAACATCTACTGTTAACTACAATACAAATTAAGATTCCATTAAACCAAATTACTAGATGCTTATATTCACATATTATGGAACTATATATAAAATGTTTAGAAATTGTTGAGAATCTGCACAACTGGCAGCTCCTCAAGAAGGGCTGAGCTCCAGAGAGTTATTTAAGGGAACCGCCACTACAGCGTATTCAGTTGACGCCTTATCAATCATTCTTTGTGCGTAGTGCCTTCCTCGTTACACTTCGTGTTGTGTTTCATTTTACAGTGCAATCCTCAGTAGTTAACTGCATCAGGCCTAAAGAAAATACAGCTCAGGGATTACGAAATCTAGAGCATAGTAACTTATACGTATATATTGCTGATAACAGGTTATAGAAGCGCGCAGTCAGGCTGTGAGGCGGGCTGACAGGAAGGCTGTGATGCGGGCTGACAGACAGGCTGTGAAGCGGGCTGACAGGCAGGCCGTGAGGCGGACTGACAGGGAGGCTGTGAGGCGGGCTGACTGGGGCGCCGTGAAGCGGGCTGACAGCCGGGCCGTGAGGCGGGCTGACAGGCAGGCCGTGAAGCGGGCTGACAGGCGGGCCGTGAGGCGGGCTGNCGACAGGCAGGTCGACAGGCTGGCAGGATGGCAGGTCGACAGGCAGGCAGGATGGCAGGTCGACAAGCAGGCGGGCATAATGGGCGGTCACAGAAGATGGTCGTACTTCTATTGCAGAACACGCCCGATGAATGCCGGCGCAGCGGGACACTTCGGTGGGCATGTGACTCCAGTTCTACCAGTATAACCTGAAGAATTAAGTTCAAATAAATTGTATTCAAAATTAAACTTTTATCTCACAGAAAACACACTCTTTATCGATCACAAAAATAAACTAGCGAAACTCGGGAATATTATACAATTAGGGGTTAAAATTAAGACTCCTTTTTCTAATATTAATGCAGGCAGTACACTGTGGTTTAAAGGCATACGTGCATTAGGCCTGTGGGAACCTCGAACAGTCAGACAACTAAATTTGCTACAGTGCAGTCATAGTCGTCACATTCCGACTGATATAGGAGTATGTTAACAAGTCTGTGAGTGTAGGCCTCTGGGATATCGATGCTGGCAGAGACAACCACGTCAAACTATAACAAAAAATGTTTATTGCTCTTAGAGCGGGTATTACAGACGAGCGTGGGGAGTGTCTGAATAATGCGGTGGAGAGACTGTTCGTAGCGTCTATGCAGGTCTAGCGATGACGATGCTATTGGATGCCCTGAAAATTGCAGTTAGTCTGAAGCCTTCGTTGCAGCGAGATAGCCAGCACGGCGTACTTCCTTGTAGCCACCCGTTGTTCTTCTTTGCTGTAACCCAGTCATTACCGCCATTACGCGCTCGCAGGATAGTTGCGGGCCTGCGCTGAGTTCGCTGGCAGACGCCCCACGCTCGTCTGTAATAAATGCTCTAAGAGCAATAAACATTTTTTGTTATAGTTTGACGTGGTTGCCTCTGCCAGCATCGATATCCCAGAGGCCTACACTCACAGACTTATTAACATGTTACAGAGGCAACAATACATATAAATATTGTCGCGTGTTGCCTATGCAGTGCGACAGATAACTTCACGTGGGTCTCGGATTTTACGAGTATTTATTGAACGCTCACTTTTACATACTCAGATACAATTGGTATCACTTCAACTGCATTCTGCGGTTCCGCCCACTCGATCCAAATAATTTGGCGAATGCTAGACTCTTGTCTTCCAACCTTGGCTTCTGCGGCGGCTATATTTCAAGTGTACTCTAGCGACGGCTATGATGCAACTGACGTTCACATGGGTCTATCCAACTCTGGAATATCTGAGACTGAGCCTCACTTTACGACTGACGGCCAGTCGGCCAGTCTGTCTTGGCATAAAGCTCCCATTTGGGTCTTGTGACCAGATCTTTATCACTGGCCCCCGTAGTCCTGAAAACTTCCTGGCCCACGAGGGAGACATTAAGTGGGGCTGGGCTCGATAGGGCCATTAGTCTTAACAAGAATTTTCAGAGAGGATATTGCCTCCATTATGCTGTGGCTAGTTCCTTTCAAATTCATCCTGCATCAGTGATCCTATCCCATGAGGCTATATAGTCTCGATACTGAAAGTGTCTTTAACCCATAAAATAGCAACACTAAGCAGATACCAAATAAACAACCCCAGCATGCCAACACTCAGTACAAAACAAACCAACTGGGATAACTTTCGCACGTACATCGACGAACACATCAACCTAAATCTAAGAATCAAAGAACCTCAGGAATTAGACGAAGCCACACAACATTTCACTACCACAATACAAGCGGCAGGATGGTACTCAACCCCAACCATAGCCGATAAACGAAACAACGAATCAAACAACATCCCAGTCTCCATCAGAGAGCTGTTTGTCATAAAACGACAAGCGCGGGGCAGATGGCAGAGATCGAGAAATACTGAAGACTGGCTTACCTAAAACCGATTGAGGCGAAAACTACACTGAGCGCTAACCAAAATGAGGAACAACACCTTCGAACGATACATCACATCCCTCAACAAAGAATCTGGAAAGCCACAAAAAAGTTCAAGAGACCACAAACCGCAATACCACCAATAAGAAAAGCCGATGGTACATGGGCGAAAAGCGATCCCGAAAAGGCGACAACATTTGCTGACCATCTCAAACAAGTGTTCTCACCCCTCCCAAATATCAATGGCAATCAAGAAGAAATAATAAACTTCCTAGACGTGCCTTGCCAAATGGCACCACCAATCAAACCGTTCACTCCAGGAGAGACACAACGGGAAATAGAAAACCTAAACGAGCACAAAGCACCCGGTTACGAGCTCATCACAGCAACCATACTTAAACAGCTTCCACGAAAAGCGATAGTGCTCCTAACAATCATCTTCAACGCTATGATCAGACTGTCGTACTTTCAGCCCACATGGAAATTTGCGCAGATCATAATGATCCACAAACCCGGCAAACCACCTAATGAAACAAGCTCATATCGCCCAATCAGCCTCTTGCCAATCCCGTCAAAAATATTTGAAAGACTGCTACTAACCAGACTCGAAAAAGATGTAGACTTATCCACTATCATTCCTGATTACCAATTTGGTTTCAGGAAGAAGCACTCAACAATACAGCAATCCCACAGAATCGTAAACACAATAGCAGC